ATTCGATGATGCTTTCGAAGGTAGTAGTGTAACCTGAAGACAGACGCAAATGTTTGAAAAAAGGCACTTAATGCTCTCACCGATGGTTACCCTGGTGTACAGCAACTGTATCAGATTGCATCTGATCACTATTACTGGTCAAGCATGTACTACGATACAAAAATGTGGACCATTGTGTGACGCGTGTAGTACACAAACCCGACACAAACCCACTATATCGTATAGCAGAACATAGACCAATCACTGAATTACGAAAGTGTGTGACGGTAGACACTGTCGGACTTTTACCGATGGAGACCCATATCATCGTACTCAGCGATGTTTATTCACTAGCTCAGTAGCTAGTTTGTATGACTGCTCCCACGGGTGAATAGAACGAATACATAAGAATACCCGACTTCTGAACAACATTACACGCACACTTACCTGACCTCTTCAAAGGTCATAAGAACAAAAAACCAACTTCGTTACACGGTAATACTGCTTCCGCAAAAAATTTTGCACAAATAAAGACTATCTAGCGCATTCTACGAAACAATAAGTATGAATAACCCTTTCGAAAATTTCATAGTTGTAGCGCACATAAAAATTTAAGGGTGCAAATAAAGCAGTAATTCGATTTTGGATAATCCGACAGCAGAGGGTAAAGTTGAGTACACAATAGCAATCGATCAGCAGATTGATTGAGTGCACCCTNATTCATGTTTTGCATTACAAGAACATGTTCATTGAAATTTACTTCAAAATCATCAAAAGTATGAAATGAAGATTCCTTTAGTGGTGACTTTCAATTTTGAATACTATTCCAGGATAGGATGCCTACCCGAACTTTTTGTGACAATTATGCTATTTATCATTCATCATCATAAGATAGTTAGTCCTAAGACTGGTTGGACGCGCACCCTCACTCTTTCCTATCCTGATTGTAATCTTCGCATTTTCCTAAAACTAGAACAATCCACATCCTTAACTATTTGAGAACAGTAATCTAATCTAGGTGTACCTCTACCCCTCCTAACTTCCGTTTCCGCCTCTTATATGTCTTTGACTAGACCTTCATGCCTGAGAAGTGGTCCTATTAACTTATTTCGCTTATTGACTTCCATAGAGTACTCCGTTCTCTTATTCTTTCTGCTACCTCTTCATTTCGAATCTTCTTTATCAACGGTATCTTCATCATTCTCATGTAACACCACATTTTGAACGCTGCTAACCTTTTCTTTTCCGCCTCGCCCACTGTATAAGTTTCGCACCTTTTTCGAATTTCTAAATTAACCGTTCGCGAGCATAGAAGTGACTTCTTTTTTTGAAGGCGACTTGACCTCTGCTTTATATCCCTACTACTCCTTCCGTCCTGAGTTATCTGACTTCCTAGATACCTAAAATCGACCACTTCTTCCAATTTTTCGCCTCCCGTCTTTATATTAGCTTTTTCCCTACTTTTTCTTCCGTTCTGTACCAGTATTTTTGTTTTACTTTTATTTATTTTCATATAGTACTGTTTGGTTAATACCTCATCCATTTTATTTAAAGCTATTTCTAACTCCTCCTTGCTAGATGCTAATACTGCTATACCATCTGCAAATCTAAGTATATCTATGTATGTATGGATTAAAAAGTAGCGATGTCAGTGTGCATCCTTGTCTGACTCCCTTCCTAACATTTACTTCTCTATGTTACAGCTCCAACTCTATAAGTGCCTGTTGCTCTTTATACAAACTAATTATCACTCTTTTATCTTTGTAACTCATCCCTACATTTTTAAGTATATTTAACATCTTGGCCCTTTAACATTGTCAATAGCTTTTTCTNAATCGGATGAACTTTCCACAGAAGTACTAGTCCTTGGGCATATAAAACGATTGCCTTTATGGCATTTCACGACTAATCTGCGGCTAATTCAGATATGGACATATAACAAATGCACAGACAAACATACGCTAGAATACTATTAATTACGCAATGCGCAAATTCAAAAATTCACCATATTTAAATTCACTATATTTAGTTTTATAGCTAGTGAAAATTTAGGAAATAACGCAAATTTATACAAGACATCACCCAGCAGGAGCTACAGATGAAGCCCTGGCGCTTCACACCTTAGGCGCAGTTTCTCGTCAGCGAGCAGGCACGCGTAGTATTCAGCGGGGTATCAGTATTACTGATATTACGACTAAAACTTATTGTTATAATAAATATTATAAAGACAGAAAAGAAGTTAATAAACAGTAAGGACACAGGGAACTGTGTGATACACAGCAACCTATTTATACGAAAATTTTCTCTAATAAAGAACGGAACAACGTTTCCTATTCAGCATCAGTAACTGACTGAACCTATCTAATCCAATTAAATGTATTTTTATGCGAATCATTCATGTCATTTAAAAACTACGTCGAGAGTTTGCCACGCACTGTATTGCAATTTACAAATTATTGCGCTACGTGTTAAATAAGTTTACGTCGTGTTAGGTCATGTCAGGACAGATCACTTCAAGCTCCAAATAATTATCCATATAAACTATGAGGTTGTGAATACTAATCCATCTTAGCTGATATGACGTAAGTAATAATTGGTCGACAGTAGAAACAAAAAATATATTACTTAAGTTTCTGGAATAATAAGAAAGAGGTGTCTAGTCTTTTCCGAATAGGAATTATTTTCCTTGTTTCTATTTATGATTTACACCTATTTTTTAATTTTTCAGAATAATTACATAACTACCGGGTTTGGAGCACCAGTTTCCTATAAGGATGCATCCTTAACAATTGGTCGTCGTGGACCATTATTACTGGAAGATACAGAATTTATCGATGAAATGGCACACTTTAACCGAGAGCGAATACCGGAAAGAGTAGTGCATGCTAAAGGTGCAGGTGCATTTGGTTACTTTGAGGTCACCAACGATATCACTCGGTACTGTGCAGCCTCTGTTTTTTCAACAGTTGGAAAAAGAACGAAAATTGCGGTTCGGTTTTCCGTAGCTGGTGGTGAAAGAGGTTCGGCGGACACTCGACGAAGTTCACGTGGTTTCGCCATCAAATTTTACACAGAAGAAGGAAATTGGGACCTTGTAGGAAGTAATTTTCCAATATTTGCTATTCGAGATCCCATTCTAACCCCCAGTATGATCCATGCCCAAAAGAGGCATCCAGCAACCTTTCTTCCAAACAGCGACATGCAATGGGACTTTTTCACTTCGAGACCGGAAACAACTTATTTGTTACTTTATACGTTCTCCGACAAGGGAACTCCTGATGGATACAGATTTATGGACGGTTTTGGAGTTAATACGTTCAAACTGATTAATGCCAGCGGCCATCACGTTTATTCTAAATTTCATTATTTATCAGATCAGGGTTTGAGAAACTTAACGGCAAGGAGAGCTCAAGAACTTACAGCCGAAGATCCCGAATATGCTATAAGAGATTTGTATAATGCAATTGGATCCAGTAATTATCCATCATGGACATTGTACATTCAAGTAATGACCGACGAGCAGGCAAGGAATAGTAGTTTTAATCCATTCGACGCCACAAAGATATGGCCCGAAGATATATATCCTTTAATTCAAGTAGGCCGATTAACATTGAATGAAAATCCTACGAATTTTTTCCAAGATGTCGAGCAAATGGCCCTGTCTCCATCAAATTTGGTGCCTGGAATCAAACCTTCGCCCGATAGAATTTTACAAGGAAGACTGTTTTCTTATCCAGATACTCAAAGATACAGATTAGGACCCAACTTTCTTCAAATTCCTGTCAACTGTCCGCTTAACGTCCGAAATTATCAGCGAGACGGTCCAATGTCTTACAATAATCAGGGAAATAATACGGTTTATCATCCGAATTCAGTAGATTCGTTAAACGTCAGTCAAAGGGCAGCAGCATTAAGTCCACCGTACTCC